TATTTTGTTTTATTCTTATTATCGTTTCTATTAATGAAATATACATGTTTATAAAATGTATGTTAATTTTATTTTCTTAATTTTCTTTCTCAGATTCAAATGAAGTGATGAAGATTGATTTTATAAAATTAACACAAAATCTAAGAGGTGAAGTGCTTATTTTGCATTTAACTAATAAATTACAAAATACATCAAATGCACAAAGAATTTTTGAAATAATTTCGGAACAGTTTAAAGCTTATCTCAAAATTATTATTGTCACAGGTAAGCTAGTTTTATTACTTTAATTATACAAAAAATGTTTTTATATCGTAATGTATTTTCAGATCAGCAAGCATCCACTGTTATTAAGAAATTAAACGACAGTATCGTTATTTTTCCAATGCAAAATGTTCTTGGATATGAGATAGGAAAACTATTTTCTTGTTTGCAATGTCCTGATCATATTAAGAAAGATTTTTATATATCAGACCCATATATTGAGCCATATAGCAAGACAATGACGATATCTATCGGGCAAGTTAAAGAGACTGCGTTACTATCCTTAGATATAAAACTACGTGATTTTCTCGATGACGTAACGTATTTTAATGTTGGTTCAAATATATATGCTATATTCTTCGATAGCAAAGGAGTGGTTTGGATGCATAAAAATTTTCCTAGATTTGAGACAATGATTGAGCAACCACTTAAAGTGCATTTGCAAGACATTGAAAATGTAGATAATCGAACTATATTGAAGATGATAAATGAGTTTAAAGGAATCGTAAATGTAAAGACAAAATTAGGCGAACAGGTAAGCTAACATATCTGTAAATATATTTGAGGATAAGATAAGAAAAGAATAAAATACAGAATATTTTCTTTTAATGTACAATATAGAAGCGATATAGATGGAAACACTTAAATTATAATGATTTGATAATATGCTTGGTATCAACAACTGAGGAGGGAATATTGCCTGTCGCGAGAAATGCGCCTCCACTGCCGGCAAATATATTACATCATCGCCTCGATCTTATGCTTCAAACTGTCATTGATAAAGACATATTTTGCATTTATAGAAACAAAATTACAACTTTATGTAAAGAAATCAAATTTTTTAAACTATCTCTAGTTACATTATCGTTTGTAAAATTTGTAAATGTTATAAAAACTCTTTTCTTTCTTTTTTTTTTTTTAGCAACGGGTGTAATTTATTTATCACCATGGTGCTTTCAATCCCCAATGGAACAATTGAAATTACTAGAAACAGGTTCAACCGTGAATGTACAAAGCTATATGGCATATCTAAAAGATGTAACGGGTCTTTTGGCTAATCCCGGTTTACATCCATCTGTAAAATCAGATGTAGCGATGCTAGCACCAGTTTTAGAACATTTTAAAAAGCAGCATGCCGAGAGTCCATTAAATAAGTTTATTATAAGAAGGTAATTACAAGTAATTATATATAATTTTACACATAATTATTAATTTATAAGATGATATCTTTACATTTATTTTATTTTGTGATTTTTAGATATGTTGTCAGTACGGTTAGTGGTGTATTAGAAATATTTCCAGGGATGGTATTAGATTCTGGTTTTGACCCTAAAAGGCGAATGTGGTATGGGAAGGTACTGGAACAACTTGATAAGATAATCTTAACTCCACCTTACTTAGATGCAGGTGGATCAGGCTATGTAGTCACTCTGAGTCAAACTATCAAATATTCTGTGAGGATTAATGGAAGTACAGATTACGCAATTGCTGTTCTATCTATGGATGTTACAATGGGTTACATTATGAGATTGTTGTTGGAAATGTTTCCATTCTGTCATGATACAACTGTAAAGTGTTTCTTGATGGATGATAAAGGCTATTTGGTATCACATCCGAAGCTGTTAGAAGCAACAGGCAAGATCGAACAACAACATTTAACACATAAGGAACTTTTAGTGGCTAATGACATATTGAATCATGGAATGTTCGTGAAAAAAAAATCATGCGCCAGCTACTTAGACGGTACTGTGCAGAGATACTATCAATTTAATACGTCGCTCGACGAGGTGCTCACTAATATGGCACACGGTGAGCACTGTGTTAGATATCAGGTAGCTGCTGTACCAGGAACTAATGTATTCCTTGGTGTTGTGAACATGACTACTCAGTGTAATTTGCTTAGAGCTTTTTGTCCGTGCAGTACGGTAAGCTCACAATTTTTATTCTAAAACATTTTTAAATTTCTTAATATATTGTATCTGTTTATTAAATATTGCAGATGGATCATTCGTGCTTGAATTGTAAAAGTATGGAACAAACTGGTTGTGAATGTCCTTGCGAATGTTCTTTATATTCTTTTAGCTGTATGCAACAAAATATCGATAATTTGGATTCTTGTCCACCTATATATGAGCAAGGATCTAGTTTACAAACTCCGTGGATAGAGCCGATGAATTTGAAATCGTGCCCAGTTATCAATTGCAAATCATATACAACAGAGAGAGACTGTTTAGGTGTAGCGGATTGTCAATGGTGTCATGTCGACACCGATGGAGAGACTCCTTTGCAACAACCGTTTTGCTCTGATATGTCCATATGTTTTAAAGGAATCTTCGGTTCTTTAATACCTTATGGCGATGGCACTTATAGTAAGTTTGTCTTTTTTTTTATTTTTGTTTTATTTGTATTAACCATTGGATAACAAAATTATATGTTTCCAGATTCGCAATCGACTGACGAGATCGCGATACGAGAGTGGCCATCAATTGGGCCGGTAGCTGGTGGAATTCTTGCACTGTTTTTAATTCTAGGTTTCATTGTGTTTTGTTACAGACTCCGATCAATGCATTTGGGTTTAGAGCATCAATGTTTACATATTCATACTTCACCCGATACATTGCGTATGACGCATATCGATGGCGATCCGGAACCTGCAGAATTAGATCAGATTAAAAATAATTTAGATTGTCTCGTGAGAGACAATGTAGCGCGTATATCACCGTACAGAGTTTCTACTAATTACAGAAGACCACCTGGTGGGGACAGTGATCATGGATATAGCACAATGACACCTCACGATGATTCTGAACAACAGACTTTCGCTTCCGAACCTCTATTAGCCGTTGAAAATGACGTCGAATCGGATTTGACTAAACAATCCAGCATCGGAGTGCCTTCTCCTACGACATATTTAGGATCGCCACATCATGTTTTAGCACCTGTGACTGTCCATCGAGATATGGAAACAAATTACTGTTGACTGATGAAACTGAATTTACTGCCATTTATTTAAAAAGATAAGACGTTATTTCCTCGAAACATTGGGGGCGTGTTTAAGCAAACAAAACAGCTAGCCTACTTGTCCAGCAATTGAACATGATTAGTTCTTATAGATTCAATCAATTGCATCGAAAGCTAGCAGCTTCGTCCAGTTTGAATCAACACAGCCATTGTTTTAAGAAATCATCACAATTGCTTGTTTTTTGCAGATATAATCTCAGGACATAAGAATTAAGTGAGTACCATTTAATACATGATAGTGATTTATTTTATTTGCGATCTTTGATGCAGAAAATATTATTATTTTACTACGAGACTGTTCATATTTTTATTATCAAATGATAAAAAGCATATTTCTTTTATTATGCTTGAAAAAAAAATTTAACTTAAACTGTACTCAATATTAAGGCCTTCCACATAAGTGCTAAAAAAATATTTGATATTAGTCTTCTAAAGAAGTATTAAAAGCGATTGTGAAGTTTATATATGAAAATAGTTCAAATGGCTGCTATATATATTGAGCGAATAAGTACATTATAAGTAGATAAAATAATAGCGAGTTATGTAAATGGAGCAATCTAGAAATGTAAAATATTAAAATATATTATTTTAGACATGTTTTTAAACATGTAAGATTACAACTTGCCAAGTATCTTTATGACAGAGTAAGACATTAGATATTCGAATAGGTGCTGTATTCATAATTACATAGGATGTAACATGAGAGCCGAGATTCACTTGAAAAGAATTTAGTACTTTAAAGCAATTGACTTTATATTACATCTTGTATATAAATTAAGAGATTTAAAGTTGTTATTATTAAGTATAGAAAATTAATGATAATATGAAATATTTATGCTAGTAATGGCAACTTCCTGTTTAGACATTGAATTTTAGCTTAATGTTTGAAATACTGCCATTATCACGTTCCATAATTAAGTCAGATGGGTGAAGAGTTAATTGATGATTAATAATAATCTAAGAGATACAAAGACAATGAAAAAAAAAATTTTTTTTTAAATTTTTTTATAGTGTATAAGACTGCCGGCGGTTTGTGTACGTAATTCCTCTTGGAAAATCTAATAAGAATTTGGACATGAGAAAGTCATTTTTGACTGGTTTTAACAATTCCGGAGAGTGAGTGAGTGAGTGAGAGAGAGAGAGAGAGAGAGAGAGAGAGAGAGAGAGAGAGAGAAAGAGAGAGAGAGAGAAATAAGGAATGATAGTAGGAGAAAAAAATAGTAAATGTTCTTCCCTCTCAATTTTGTTAAAAGTATTACTCTGCATACAAAACTGTTGCTCGTGTCCAAACTCTTATTAAAGAGGTTTCTCTAAGCTTTACTCTTACTCTTAGAAACGTCATCCTATTTCTTTTTTTGATAGATGTATACAGCGTACTTATTATCATGATTTACATAAATGATGCCAAAACTTTACAAATTGTGCAAAATTTTAAAATGCTTGTACATAGAAAATCTATAATACTATTTTTATTATTATTTTTCATTGTATCTCTTTTCTTTATTTCTATGCGGATATATTTAAGTATTTTTCTTACAGTGTGACACCTTAATTTTATTAATTCAAAAAAATCATCTCAATGAAAACAATAAAAATAAGAGAAATGTGGAATAATATGTCAATAAGAGAGTATATAAATTCCAGTTGTCCGTATTAATAGGCCTGTTCTTATATATAGCTGAACTTTATGATGCCAATATAAAACATAAACGTAATGTCTTAAACATTCATTGTATTTTTATATAGAGATATTAAAAGTAAACAATCGCGATAAGAATAAAAGTTACATTATTATAATAGTTATAGCGCAAGTTTTTTTTATAAAAATATTATTTAAAGTTGTACGATTAACGTATTTTATTGACATAATACAATACACTTTTGTTTATGCGTATTTTGCGCGATACGTACATTTTAACAAACTAACATGATCGTAATTCTATTTTTACATTTTTCAGTTAAAAAAGATAGTGGCAAAATATAGAAAATATTAGGATGTAATTTATATCAAGTCTGCATAACTAGCTGCTCCACCGGACAGCAAATTCGACAACTCGATCAAATAATACTCTAGCACACTTATTGCTACATGTATCGTCGATACGTATACAAACTTCTATTTTAAAGAAAATTTGCCCGCGGATAACGTATTCAGCAAGTTGTGCAGGCTTAAATTATGCCGATAATGGTGACGACTTACATGAGACTTGCGTACACTGCTGACTGCTACTTACAAAAAAAAACATCCACCGATGTATTGTTATTACTAAGAATGCAGTATAAAATACTGTTGTTTTATATTGATTTTTTTTACGATGTATGTATAATGCGTACAAAATTCGTGCCGAATGAGATTTTATACATTATACAGTATTTTTTATTATTAAAATCTGTGCATTTTACTATTAAATAGAAAATATATCATTGCCTTGTATCCCTTTCTGCAACGGAACGAAAATATTGCGGAACATGTCTTGATTTTACAAAAAAGGAAATTTGTGGAGAATATTGCGTTTTTCGTATATGTAAAATGAAATGAGATACTTTTATTATATTATTCTGTCTTATAAGTAATTCAGTACGAGGTACATTGATGATCGACAAAATTATTACGATGACTAAGGTATAAAGTCTGGATTCTTTCTTAAGATTACAAAACCTTCCATAATTGGTGTCAGTGGTACATATTCCTCGGTTGCAAGTTCCGCTCTCTCACCATATGCCAACAACACCGGAGTGGTGTGCGTTTGAAAGCCTGTGATGGTCTTCGGTTTGCCTGCTTGGCCGACAACATCGACGGCAAGTCCAACTCTTACTGGTACAGCTAGTGGATTCAGGTCCTCATCAAATGTTACTAGCATTCTGGGTTGCATTGCAGCAGCCAGTGTATACAAGAGATAATGTGAACGTCCGAGAATAACTGAAAATATATATTATAACAATAAAAATTAATAATGACAAGTTATATCTAATATTAATAAATAATAAAACCTAGATCAATACATTAAATGAGCTATAGTTAAGTGTAACTAAATAATATTTATTAATCACAAATTATAATTTTCCGACAATAAGTTTCAACGGTACGTTTTGATTATACTTAATCCTCATCAGCCGCAGAAATACATAAAAACCCAAATATCTAATTATATTAACATATTAGGATCATCTCACATTCGTGTTACAAAGAATATATCATATGTAGTCAAATTTGATAAAAACAAACGATGTAATGAAGAATCATGATTTCGAACCAATTCATCGGTTAATAGCGAGAAACGGCAGTCAGTATGAATAAATGAATAAATTCCAGTCATATTAATGATATAGCTTGATGTCAAATCATACAAAATGTATATACGTCCTTAATAATATTGGTAAATAAACTTAATAATATTGGTAAATAAATAGAATAAATTATCGTCAAAATTGAAATTATAAAGACATTAATAGTTTGTAACTTAAAAACTATCTTTAACACTTAAAAATATATGGTAAACTGATAATAAGTTATAACTTTATGTACATGTATATACAAAAATTTCATTAGAACAAAAGTACAATGCGAAACATAAATAACAAACGCTTTAAATTTATAATGTCAATTAAGAAAATTAAATAATTATCAAAGAATAAAGAATAAAAGTTACTTTTAGTTAAAGAATAAAAGTTACAACACTTAGGAGCTCCGTACAATAAAAGGAACAGAGAACAGAGAATAAGAATTTCAACCTATCAGAAATCATGTACTTGTGGAATACACAGTTTTTGATAAGTTGAAATTCTTATTCTCTGTTCCCTGTTCTTATTGTGTGGAGCTCTTTACATTAATATGAAGGTAAATACAAATTATATACAATGGCAAGTTAGTAGCAGTCTATTAAAATTGTAATATAGAATTTAGAATCAGTTATATTCACTGATGAAGACCGATCTTAACTGTGAGAGAATATAAATGCAAATGATACTATGTATGTCAAAAATGTATGTCAAAAAGTCAAAAGAACTAAGCGTTGTGTTTATTATTAAAAATTAAGGAAACTATATATATTATATGCGTTATAGATTTTCAGCACTGACAGTGAAACGTATCCTCGGAACACTGACATCGGAACGCATCCTAAATTTAACAGATAAACATATACGTCTAAAGAGTCTTTTTTTAAATTTATTTACATTTAACTGTTCTTTTATATGTTTATCTATTAAATTTAGGATGCGTTCCGATATTCACTGCCAGTGTTGAAAATCTATAATACGCACGTAACATATACTATATAATTTCAGCACTAGCAGTGAATATCGGAACGCATCCTTAATTTCTAATAATAACAAAAATGATAGCGCTTAATTCTTTTGTCTTTTGACTTTTTGACATATATATGATATCATTTGCGTTTATATTCTCTCACAATTAAGATCGGTCTTGCATCACTACATCGTTTATTTTTATCAAGTTTGACTACATATGATATGATTACGATATATCACCTTTTGTAACATGAAGGTGAGATGAGTAATCTGTTATATTATCTATTGTAACTCGAATGTCAGATGATCCTCATAATATGTTAACATAATTAGATATTTGGATATTTATATATTTCTGCGGCTGATGAAGACTAAATATAGTCAAAAATATGGTCAAATCACGTACCGTTTAAATAAACTTATAATAAACTTATTGTTGGAAAATTATAATTTGTGATTAATAAATATTATTTAGTTACACCTAACTATAGCTCGTTTAATATATTAACCTAAGTTTTACTATTTATTAATTTGTTGTAAGTTATAAGAAAAGAATTGATATTATTTATATTGTAATCTGATTTATTTTATTATATTTTATTATAGTATATTATATCTGATTTATTTATATTATTTTTAATATGAAAATCTGTGAGAATTTAAAGAATTACTGATTGATCAACTGTAGAGATATAAGAAAATAGTGAAGATTCTCTTTTGTTGTAGAAGATCTCTGGAAATTGATTGTCAAACTCATTGTATCTTTGTAATTCATAACAAGAATAGCTTATCTGCTTGCTAGTAATGAAATAGTTATCGAAGAACATATCTTTGTATTATATCTATTGCATCAAGAATATACTCACTGTTTTTTACGTCCAGGAAACCGATCAGCGTCGATAGAAGACCAGCTAGAGCAACAGGGCTGAGCAGCTGTCTGTCACTATGATAAGGCGACAGTGTGAGCGTGCCTTTACCTAGATGCGTCAAACCTTGTGCGATGCGCACCATGAAGAGATTGTTGGGATCCTTCGCATGGAATTGAGCCAGCTGTCTCAGCATGGCGGCTAATCGCGCATTATTCGTGCCGGCACCGACCAGTCCCATGGCGAATATTGCGTTGTGCGCTACCTCGGGATCACTGTCGTGCGAGAACTTTGATAGCGTATCCAAGATGTTTAGTTTTGGATTCGATACAGAGATAAGACCTAGGGCGAGTGGTACCGAGCGGCGAATCACGGGTTCGCAATAACGTAGCAAGTGGCCAAAGGTTCTGTAAGCCATCTCGGCACCAATTTCCTCTCCCATAGCGATCAGAGCAATACCAAGAACGGCGATAGCCTGCCTGGAACTGAGATCTTTCTCTTTCTCCTCTTTCTTCTCCTCTTTCTTATCTTTGTCTTTACGCTCGCTTTTTTCCTCCTTCTCATTACTCGATTCATAATGCTCTGAGCAGATGTGTAACAAGTGTTGGATCTTGAGGACATTTCCTGTACCAGCATATGCACATACCTCCACTAGTGTTGTCGACATCGATCTGAATGGCTCATGAACGATCTCTAAAGCTGCTATGATCGCTTCTGCCGCTTCCTGTTTACCTAGGAAGCACAATCCCAAACCAAGTGCCAAAAATCGCGCGTATGTATCTTTGAGATCAGATTCCGACTTATCCATTAACGTGTGCATAATCGCTGTAGTGACATAAGCGTTACAAGAACCGGCAGCAACCATTCCTAATGCTAAACCAGTCATACCCAAGACTTCCCAGCTCGACTTGGTGTCACTGAGAACCGGTGTCAGCAAACCTAACACTCCTTCTCTGTTTGAACCGGCGTAGGCAATACCGAGACCGACAATGGCGCCAATGCGCATAGTGTTGCTACTATGTAACACATAATCGGAAAGCAAAGCTAAGGCAGGATCACATTCGTTCCTGACGCCGCAATTGACAATTCCGCAAGCCAATAGAGCGCCAGACTTGATATAATCTTCCGACGAATATAAATATTTATCGATTGGCGTCAGGCCACCATCAACGTCCCACAGTAAGATCAGACCTAGGGATGCAGTCGCACTCAGCATGCCATGCTCCTTGTTTTTATACAGCCATTTGTTACCGTCTTCAATCAGCAATTTATCGTGACCAAACGCAGCGTTTACAAAACCATTGACGAAACTTGCTGCGAGATTCTGCCGTGCTGAATCAACTTGACCGCCACCAAATGGTGGTCGCGAGTTCTCCAAGTGAGATTTATAGACATCCTCAGGTGTCTTTGGCTCCATTATATCCAATTCACGTGCCAAATTCAGGAAGTGATTGTTCAAGTGCGAGTTAGACATTATCTCAAAGAGATCATCGTCTTCTATCGTAGCTTCATGTAGTTCCAGGAAGATTTGTTGACGACCTAGCATAAAGGCCAGTTGCTTTTGCACAGAACTAAAAAATCAAACATAAAGAGTTGAACCTTCTACTTGGAAAATATCAATCATTATTCAATAATAATAATAAGAAAAACTAAGTTATTAATTGCCCCAATGGCAATTTGGACTCTTTTTGTCTAGTGCAAATTTTTTTATTGTTCTAGACATTCAAAAAAATTCAGGATTATTTTTCGATATCTCTATTATATTATCAAATAATTTTTAACTCAAATGTGAAAACTTTTATTTAATAAAAATTGAAATTTGAGCAAAAACGAAAGTAAAATTGGAAAGTGAAATTTCGCTTGTTCCAAAAAAGAAACAGTTTGCAGATGGAGGATTAAAAAAGACTTAAACAAAAAGATCATAAAAAGTTATCTAAATAAAAAGATCAAAAAAAGTCATATAAACAAAAAGATCAGAAAAAGTAAGTTTTATACTTACAGATCTCGACAGTTTGTGAAGATCGATTCAATAAGTGGCAAATCGTTCAATTGCATCGCCAGCCTAATTGCTTGCGGATATTGACCAAATTTACGATATAACTTGCAGGCGACATGAAGAAGGGTGCTGTTCTCTGGATCAGCTACATATGATACGCAACTTGTAAGATAAAGACATACTCGCTGATAAGCACTTTCATCAACGTACTGTTCCAGCAAGTCCAACCTCTCAATCTCCATTAGAAGATCACATGCTTCTGTTTCTGCATTATGTGCCATGTTGTAGGGTACAATCTCGTGCACCAGAGCGATAAGTTTCTTGTTCGTTGCTTCAACGTTGTCACCTGTTACCTCATCCCATTCTCCTGCTAGTTCTCCTGATAAATGTCTAACGTATTCATGTCCCCATTCACCAATTGCCAGTGCGGAGCCTGTTAGTCTATATTTTAAACACTCTCGGCCTTCACCCATTGTCATTGCCAAAACGGAAATAACATCTGAACATAATTCCTTATTTTTTACATTGATCATTTTTTCATGTATATTTTTCATAGTATCATAGTGAGGTCGCATAAATTTCAATGGCTTCGGAACACTTGTCATTGATGTTGTTGATGCACGAATATGTGAACGCAAGGATTCTAAGGCAGGATAGTGTAGTTTGGTGTTAGCATCTTGGAGACGCTCCACAAGTAAAGTTAATTCTTCCTGTAGAAGCTTATCTTCTTCTGACTAAAGGACAAAATCAAGTTTTTATTTGATATTTTATATACAATTTTTATTTTGTTTTATATATTTATTATATATTCTAATTTTCTCCTCTAAATATATTAGATTGTAAATATCAAAATATACTGTCTAAATTTAAAAAAAAATTTAAAAAAAATATAAGTGTTTTAAGAAACACATTCATAAAATAAGGGGTCGCTATTAGTCACTATAGAGAAAAAAACAAAAGAAATTGCAAGAATAGCGAACTAATGACAAGTTATTACAAGACAAAGATAGCTTACTTCAATTTAATGTAAATTATAGGAAAAACGTTGAATTAATAATTTTATTTATATACTGACGCAAGAATTGCAAATGTAGATTTAACGATATTAAAATGTCGATGACAACGCAACAGTATCCAATGTAGGTTAATTTCTTACCAGTTCATTTTTATCGTCTTCTTTGCCATTCTTCACTTCTTTAACCGGTTTTGTTTCTATTTTGGTGCTTTCCGGCATTTTATTCACTTATTTTATACACAAATATATGAAACAAATACACGATCTCTTCTTCAATTCTCTAGTTCGAAGTTTGAGGTTACTAAGATGAGTATTCAAGAGGTTTTGCGAGTCACCATCATGGACACGCTATATAGAGTGGCGACCGTATACTAATTTAAAAGGATTCACAGGATTCACAAACATGTTACATACGATAGCCGATTGAGCCGACATACATATAAAGAAAATTAAATAAAGAAGAAAGAGAATAAAAAGATAAAAAAGAAGAACAAAAGTTTGAAAAATTAGAAAATATATTAAAAAATTCACAAGGTCTGTTCTTTTTAACTGAACTTCTTGTACCTTTTATCTTATAATTATAGTTCGTCTTTTCTCTTCTTTCTAACGTGGAAAGAAAAAAAGAGAAAATTAACAATATAAAAAATTTAACTGAAAAGAATAGAACCTGTTATTAGAACCTAACCTACTATTGGGATCTATTATTAAATAATAATTAAAAATTAATGACTAGTCAGTAAGAAACTAATAATTTCAAATTTAATAAACTTTGCTTTGATTGGTGATCAACTTCCAATTCAATTTTAATCTTAATCTCTAAATAGTCTGTGGGCATATTTTAAGATGTTTTAAGACGCCAAAATCTAACCTCAATAATATTTAGTATTTCTTTACTTATCTGAAAAAAAAAAAAAAAGAAAAAGAATTCACGCATATGCCTATTTCACTTCGTGTGCAAAAAGTACAAGTAAACAAGGTGCAATTACGGAAATTAAACATTCGTCAACATTCGTTGAATTCCGTAACTGTTCGTCATTCGTCACAGGGAGTGTCTAGCTAGCGATGTAGCGTCGCAGGTTGCTGACTCAAAACTTGTGATTTTATTTAACGTATTTTTTTAATTTTATCTTTCTTCGAAAGCTTTATTCGTTACATAAGATCTAGTACATTTAAGTGAATCCAATATCCACATTTGCAGTGCTTCAATCGAATAATCGTCCGCCGAAACGTGCGAACAAGAATATCATGAATTAACAAGGTGATCATCGTCAGGAAATATCTTCAAGAGTTTCGCTTTGTCAGTTCTGTTGAATTTCTCGAAATCACATTCCAATGTGACATTCTCAATCGAGAAATTAATAAAATACTTGAATCTTGAATCTGGAAATTATAAAATGTCTGTTGTATAGTTACAAGATGTCCGCAATGATGTCTCATTTATTAATTGCCGCGGTGTTCTCGCTAATCCTCTCACTTCCCGCGTTTGCACAAAATTTCTTATATGGAGAAGAGTACAAGTGTCCCCAGCATTGGATACAATTCCAAGAGTCGTGTTATCGTTTTGTCAAAAGTCCGCTGAGACCACGAGAAGATGCACGTAGAAATTGTCAAGCATTCCAAAGTGATCTGCTTACTATTAATACAATGGAGGAGCATGGGTTCATACTCTATCAGTTGTTGTGGCAAGATCCACAACATCGCAGATGGTACACCGGAATCAAAGTCCAAAGTGGCCTATGGATAAACGAGGCAGACAGTACGACATTGATAAACATGGATAATGCTTTTCTACCTGAGCCTGTGGACAATATACTAGGAAGAGATTATTTAGCGTATTCCTATTCCAATAGTCTCCAGCGTTGGGGACTAGAAAAGGTTACTGGTAGAGAAGAATTGTTGTATATCTGTGAAGCACCTATTGCTACTCTTCACAATTTGGTAGAAGAGGATCGTACTTATCAGTATGGAATCAACATTGACAACCCACTTCAAATACCAAGGGGACCATATTTTATAAAGCAGCCCATAAACAAAGTATTCGATCAGTCAAAGAGAAATGTAAAAAATGATGTCTCTCTAAGCTGTTTGGCAGGTGGTTATCCTACACCTACTTATGAATGGTTCAAGGAGACATATGTAAATGATCTACTTATTGCAATGAAAATTGACCCTCTTTTAGACAGAAAATTTACCGTGAGTGGTGGGACACTTATCATCTATGATCCAGATTCAGTAAGAGATCTTTTTTAATTTCTTTTTTAAATCTTATATGTTATTTTAAAACTTATGTTGAGATATATAAATTAATATATTAAGTTAATATATAAATTAATGAACATCAATGATTTCATTATTTATTGTTTATAGAAAATAGATTCTGGCTTGTATCATTGTAAGGCAACTAACAAATTTGGCACGATTATTTCTGAGAGCGCTGAACTGTCATTCGGATTCATCAATGAGTTTAATTTAAAACGTTCCGAAGAACGCGGAGATAATCATTGGGGTAAAGTAATGTATTGTGACCCACCACAGCATTTTCCAGATGTATCATATTATTGGGTGCGTGAATACTTTCCCAATTTCGTCGAGGAGGATAAACGCGTATTTGTCTCACATGATGGAGCGCTTTACTTTTCTGCATTGGAAACAATTGATCGAGGAAATTATTCTTGCTACGTCCAGAATATTGCATTCGATATCGGACGTAATGGTCCATTCTTTCCATTAAAAGTGGACATGCACTGTAATTATTTTGGATTTTATTTTATGCATCTAACAGAATAGAAAACGACATAATTAAATAACTTTCTAAATTTTTCAGCTTCTTTTCAGCAGTTGAAATTTCCTAATAATTTTCCAAAAGCGTTTCCAGAAGCACCAGTAGCTGGAGAAACTGTTAGACTGGAATGCATTGCGTTTGGATAGTAAGTTATTATTAATACTTTGTCTTATATATCTTTTACATATATATATATA